GACGATGGCCGGCTAAATACGGAGGTAATTGTTCGAGGGATTGTTGTTCCAGGTTATTCTTATGTAAATCTTGACCAAACCTTCCATGAAGGGATAAAGCGGAGGAGAGCGGTGGGGTTGGAGGAGGTTGAAGAGTGGATAGGGCGCAAGAGTGCCTACGAATATTTGCACGAGGTAATTATTTCGTCCCCGGAGGAAAGCCGGATTTCCGCCGGAGAGTTTTCCACGTGTTATTTTGCGCCACGCCACTCGGCCTCATTATATAAGCCATTGTTCTTTCCCTTAGCGCCTCGCCGACTTAACTATGTTCCGCGAGTCGATCCAGCCTGGCTTGGCTTCCGTTTAGGGAGAGCCATTTTATGCTTGGCAAGTGTCCTCTTTCGGTCCTTTGTATACTTCTATTACGTAGAATCGATATAGCAAGATAAGCGATAGCGATCGTTTCGAATAGATTGAAAAATGGATTTTCATGGATTAGTTTTGTTTGTGGTATATTTGGATTTAGTAATGCGACGAGTAAAATGGATTTTATTATTGTTGGACGTAAATGATGGTTTCTGAAATTGGGATGTAGAATGGAACGAGCGTAGGACGCGTTACGAACACGTGACATTCTGACGTTCTAAATAATTTATGTGCAGAACACGGTAGTGGCCTAACCTTTGCTCTTTTTAAAGTTTCCAGCGCGAACCATTGTTCGGCACTGCCTAGCACGCTGCAAATTCATCCTCTTAGTTAATATATTACAGTATTTTTCCCGTTATTTTGCGCTTCCCTTGTGATATACATGCTTTCACATTCTTTTTTTCGAAGAATTTTTTTGCAAAACGAAATATCGCCGGATTACTTTGTCACAGAATATTATTATACGTTGTCATTGAGTTTTACTCGTATAACATTTTATTTAGACTTGTACTTTATTTAGCTATATATAAATTTTAATTTTAAAAGAATTATATATAATAACAAATTCGAAGACTTACAAGTTTATCAGATTCTTATCGTAATTTAAAAGAATTAATATAAAATTCAAAGATCCGTAAGTTTATCAGATTCATGTCGTAAAATTCACAGAGATATCGTCGATATTTTATGGAAAGGACTACGCTTACCGTGCATCGCGGTTGATCTTTGTAATTTCCGAGCGACAGATAAGCGACAGGGCAGAAGTTAATAGCAATGTTATTCGATGTTGCGTGCGCTTTTGAAGCAGCTACGGCAGCCGTCTGTCTGTCACATAGGTTATCCACTGCCGTAGGTGGTTAGCTACGACTTGTGCTCAAACGAGCAAAGTCGATTACCTTGGCCCTTACGTGGCTCGCC